TCTGAGTAGGGTTTGGTGAGTGGTGTCGCTAGAAATGGCAGATACATCCTTTATAGATTAAAGGGCATTGTACCAACGTGGATCCATTTCTTCGATAACGACTCTTCCTATTTCCACTCTGTTTTCTTCTTCTTCTTATCTTCCTCAACTTAATCCTTTCACCACTCACAAATTCTAAATCCCGTTTCTCATGTTGAGTAATTACTATTTACAACATTTTTGTTGCTATTATAAGTTCTAATTCTCACAATATAAACAATTTAATCAAATAATCTATATGCTAGAATATATTAGTTTATTTTCCTTTTGATTTTGATGGGTAATCTTGAATAACCCGACTAATCTTCATGGTATACAACCTCGACGAACGCCTACATACCATATTAGAAATATCGGTCCAATTTCAAACGAGAATCGAGCTGAGTTTCAAGAATTTATTATCTGTAATAACTATAGTTAATACCAAATTACCAACAAACATACCACCACCGCTGCATGAAAAAAATGTTTTCTACCAATAAGACTCAAAACTAAGACGACTTTCAAACCGCAAAAGTATTTTCTCGGACATGACTATATGAAATTATGCATACCCGAACTTAGAATGTATGGATGAATATATTCTAAGAAAATAGTTGTTAACTACTCGTTTATAAATCATGCATGATGGATATCTTGCTAATTACGAGCATTATATGAATCTTTCGTTATCGTACATTTTAAATAAAGAATATATATATATATTGGATTTGGACCTTGATATCACACCAGACCAAGACCAAGCAAGTTCATGGGGGAGTCCATGTTGGTCAGACTCGAAAGACTTTTGCCATGTGAAAATATATTTCTCCTCCTCTGTCTTGTCAATTTATTACTCTCTCTTGTATTTTTCAATAGTTTTGGTATTGACTTGAGAAAATGACTAGTCTTCATCTTTTATGTGGTGAAACATTTCATTCAAACGTTACAATAGATTATCGACTAGTAGATTGATTTAACAGATTATTCACTAATGTTTTTTGGGTGAGATTTTTAAACTTGCTTAACGTACTATATATGTCGCTTGAATTGAGCTAGGTTCTTTTTTTTTTGTCAACCATTGAGCTAGGTTAATGTGTTTGTAATTGCATTAAACACAGCAGATTATTAATCTGTTTGCAAACTCTTGGGAGTATTTTTGTTTTGTTTTGATCAATCAACATTTTATCGCATGACACGTGGACATGGAGTGTGGTAATGCAGAAGGAGTTTCTGGAAACTGCTCATCTCGCATTTGGAAAATCAGGCATGGCTCTAATACATTATTTTTCGGTTTTAAATTAGAAAATTTAAAAAAAATGTAATTTTTCAAATGCCACTTTACAAAAATGTCAAATTTTTGAAATTTTTACAAAAATACCACATTTTTGAAATCTTTACAAAATGTCACTTTTTGTAATTGCTCCTTTAAATTAAGTACATACAAATGTGGCATTTTTGTAATTGCCCCTTTAAATTAAGTACAGTATCATTTTAGAATTTTAATGTAAATTTTAGTATAATTATTTATTTTAACATTAACTCTAACCATTAATAAAAGATAATCTATTATATAATTAGGGAGTTCTCTCTCAATCTAGAGTGTCCATATATGCAAAATTTTTTTAAAACATTTAAGTTTTAAAAAATTTATTTAATATACAATAAACCATATTTATTTGTTTTTATGACTAAAAATAATTAAATTATAATAAAAACGTGACAGACTAAATAGAGTGAAAATAAGAAATTAATAAATTTTATTAGTAATATGATAATATGATTTTTTTTACCATATATATATATTACACATATTAACAAACAAAATATGTTTATGAATTTATAGTTGAAACAATTAGTAAAAATCAACTTACGTAACCATACATCTAAAATGTTAAAAGTAAAAGAATTTTTTTTATTAGTATTTTTAAACCCTTTTTAAAGTTTATATATTTCATGAAATATGAAAGTTTTTTCTCTTATTAAAAGGTTTGTACCTCAATAAAAAGAA